CTCAGACAAACTCTAATCAGTAATCACTCTAACCATAATCAGTGAAGTCATAGGCAATGTGGAAATTTTGGTCATTTACTTTCTGAGCCTCACATGGCCGGTCACATGACTGGAGCTAAATGAGTTTAGGAGGATGTCTGAGATAGATCAGTGAAGAGGAGGAAGTGAGGGGTCTCACTGCAAGGGCATGTTTGTGAAACCATTTTGTGCACAAGTGCGTGTCTAGACACCCATGCATCAGCCATGACCGGCCGCCCACTGATACACATCACCTCCCACCCACGCACACACTAACCCACCATTTTACACTTTCAAATCAGATGTCAGCCTCAGTGTTACGTGCAAAAACGGCTTGAGAAAGCTGACTTCCTGGTCTGTCTTCCTCCCATCCTCCTCGACCAAAACCAGACATCTCAGCTTTCACTACTCCGCCGACTGACTCTTCTACTCTTACGTCTCACTCTGCCTCTTCAGAGTATTCTCACTCTCATTTATCACTGTTGGCAAGCACCTGCTTTGAGTTTGACACCTGCCTGACAACACCAACACGCCATCAGCGGCAGAGCCAACAGGTCACTCTTAACAGTGTGCAGCCCTGCGGCCCTGAACACAAGCACACAGCAACACTCCTTCAGACAGTGAACATCCGTCCACACACCCACAACCATATGCAGCAGAGGGATTTGTGAATGAGCCACTGCTCTTACCTTGGCACTGGAATCCCTGTTTCCCAAAGCCCCTGTGGACAGAAGACAGGGATATGAAACTTGGGGAATTCACAGCAGGTGCACAGACAAAGACACATGCACACACATAAAGGCTGCAACTAACAATTATTTTTAGTCCATAAAACATTAAGAAATGTCACAAATGTGTTGCATTCCGTTTGATTACAAGTACAGAACCACCAAATATTCAGTTTTCAATGACATATAACAAAGAAAACGTGCAAATCTTTTTTGAGAAGCTGAAATCTACAAATATTTGGCATGCTTTAAAAATAACTAAACCATTGTTATGAACATATTTGCCTCTGTCGGTCGACTAATCGTTTGAGGTCTGACAGCTACCACACATGGACACAGGTCAAAACACAGCTGCAGCAGTAACGCCGGGGCCCTGTGTCTCCAGCTGCATTCCTCCACCAGCCCTCACAGAGGGGTGTCGGGTAGATGCGGTAAACGCCGAGCAGCAGCGACTGCTCTGCGGGCGCCGACAACGCATCCCCCCTTCAGGCCCGCCGTGCTGTCGCATTGTGGAGGGATGGGAGGATGGCGCATCGCGGTGTTTTTTTGACAATGACAATGAATGAAACACTGCGGTGTCTGAACACTGTCAGTGTGGAAGGAGGCCGAGCAGAACCGCAGCAGCAGCAAGTGAATCACCGGTGTCCTTTCCCCTCACACACATACTCACCAGATGAAGTCCGTGCAGTGGCTGCAGAATGTGGGCTGCTTGAAGAAGCGCGCGATAAACTTGTGGTTCTTCACCTCGTGCACATTCTTCTGGCGGAGGGCTCCCTGACGGGCGAAGCCGCGCGCGCTCTCCGGTACCTCTCCGTCGCTATTGGGGTCAGCCATCTTAACGAGGAAGCGGCGGCGGTCCGAGAGGAACAAGGGGTGAGGAGAGCTGAAGAGAGAGAGACGACGGAGGCAGAGGGGGAGAACGAGTCGCGGCGCAGGTGCCTTCTCCTCCTCCTCCTCCTCCTCTCCGCCCCGCTGGCCGCCTCGGTGTCGCTCGTGCTGCCGGTGTTCTGTCGGTCTGCGTCCAGCTCGCGCCGAAGCTGCTGCTGCTTCTTCCGGCGGGTCCCCGTGCCGCGCGCCTGCTTCCCTTTATCATCACCAGTGTGTTGCTGCTTACAACTCTCTCTCTCTCTCTTTCTCTCTCTCTCTCTCTGTAAAAAGTGCCACTTTTGTGCGTGTGCAGTTTATGTGTGACACGAACAGGTCCTTCACTGTCACTATCAACACAATTAAAATTAAATTAAAGGTTCACCTCATCATAGAAAAGCATCTTTTGTATGCACTTCCTCAGTGATGCATTTCGATGGCTGTGTGCTGGCTTCCATAAAGTTTGACCCATGGCTGGATTGCCTACCAAGAACAGGCCCAGGGGCCCAAGAGGTCAGGGGGACCCTAGACTAGAGAACCCTGAAGGGATTGTTAACATTTCTACTGGGATGTCAATAAAATATATATAAAAGGGCCACAAAGTAAGAAAATATATGAAAAACAACTACAAAGGGACACAAAACAACCACTAGAAGACAATGACAACACATTATGCAGTTGTTCAATCTGTGAATCTTGCCCTTAGATGTGTGGGACAGGTAGGGGCCTTTTACTGTACATGTCTGTGCCCAGGGGCCCAATGTCTCTGAATCTGTCCATCCATGCTTGGACCCCACTTGTGCTTACCTTTATGGGCACAGCCAATCACTATTGACTACTGCTTGAACAGATGAAAAACTAAGTAGAATTTCTAAAATTAGAAACATTTTGAGTCTCTGAAACATAGTGTTCTACTACTAGCAACAGCAATTTAGACTGAACAAGCTGAAGACTTGTTTGATTCATCAGTCAGTTCTGTTGCTTTATCAAAATGAGTGTGGTGCTGATTGAGATCCACAGAGAATGTTGTGTCCATTTGTGGTCCTCATGCACATGGGCTATCACGTGTTGTCATCATTCAGTGTCGGCCCCTCATAGACTGGTAACAGTAAACACAGAGGAGCGCAATAACAGCGACAGGAGTCAGTGGAGAGACAAGGACATTTCACATTTGTTGGACATTTATGGAGAAGCTCTTCCTCAAAACAAATGGAATGAACATGCCATAACAAGCAGTTATTGAGGGAACTGTGTGATTTGACTGTCACACAAATGACATTGTTATTCTTGTATGCATACTGCTCACATTTCAGTTAAATCTGTGCATGCATGACAGTTTAGGACCTCAGGATTGTTTGCACTGGAAGTGGATATATGTCACATACAATCATGACAGAGATTTGTCAGTACAATAAGACAGGACCTGACAGTGACCGGAATTAAGCATTAAGGCCTGTAATAAGAATGTAGCCATTTTGGCAGAGCCCCCATGATACCAGCCCCGGCATTAGGCAGATGATTTATAGTTGTTATTATTATTTTTTATTTCTTAAAAGTGAATTGCGGCGATGCAAAGCATAACATGATTTTCTTGACCATTTCCATAAATCAATAACATAGATTTAGTTCATCTGTTTTTAAGGGGTCTGAATTTAGGTGGCTGGTTGTCCCTCTTCACTACATTTTGATTACGGATTGTTCCTTTAATCTCTCTGGAACATTCATGTTGTGTGTAGGAGGTTAAGTGTGAATGACGGAAACCACTGCTGCTCTAGAAGCTGTTGTGTTGCAGATTTCATGTGAGAAAGGGGCTTAAACAGGTGTTCATCTGTCAGCTGCCTGCAATTCAAAGCAATCATACCAGCAATGATACTGTTAAGATGTATTAATCCATTTAATGAAAACGTTATTGGAATTACACAGACGATGTTGGAAGAAGTCACATGCAAAGTGTCTGACCAAACATTAATGTTGTGATTCTTAACCTTACTCACCATTAGTGTTGCAGTGCTTGAAATGTTCTCCACCTCTAGTTAAATCCCCAGTTAAAGAAACAAAACACTATGTAGTTTCTTTAGTAAAACTAATGGTTGTTATATTGAGGATGTAGTGGGGTTATAGGAGGCACTGGTACAAAAGATGAATAAAATTCAAGGGTTGTGTTTAGCAGGAGCACACAGGTAGTGCTGCTGTTAAACCTGTCTATCCCAGATTCAGTCACACTGCTGCTTTTCTCTGAATGCACACCCCCTCTATAGTGCTGTCAACACAGGGGTGACAGTGCAGTTCAGCAGTTAACATGGATTATAGTGGCAGAAATGTGGAAATGAAGAAAAGAATTTGGTGTGTACTTGGAGAATTTCCAGTTTTCATGCCTGTGCACAAAATTCTATAGAAAGTGGGTGTGCTCACTTGTTTTTCAGGTTCCAGCAAAGGAAAGGAGCTTTTCTCTGCTTCAGACTTTCTGAATAAATATAAAGGCGGTGGTGGAAGGTTTCTGCTGCATGCAAATCATGTGACAAAGTTGAATCTTACTGTTCAAACCAGAGCTTCTTTGCTGTATGATGAGCAGCTGGGATGCAGCATATGTTTCTAACCCTTGGTTAAAGATTACAGGCCTATTGATGTTATCCTCTGATAACCCTTTTTCTAACTAGATAGCTAGCTAAAAGAAGGGGACTATAAAGGAAAAGCTAGCTTGTGAGATAGTAGCAGCTAGCCTTACCTACAGAATCTATAGAACTAAAGCCAAGTTTAGTTAGGCTACTAGTTTTCAAAGCTCAGCACCTAAATCAGTTCATCAAGGACAAAAAACATTAACTACTGCTAAAGCTAATTAAATTCACAGATCTCAGAAGCTGGCATCTCTCTCTTTTTTAATATAGCAAATCTGGTGTCCATTGGTGGTTAAGCTACCTTTAAACCCTACATAAATAAAGTACACTGACTGTATTGATAACTTGATTTGAATATAATTAATATCAACATTAGTCACAAACAACAGACTCCTTTAACCTAACCTATACTGTGTAGGCTAAATAATAAACAAACTATTCACACAATACAGTTTGTGTTCATAGATTTGTGTACTGCATCATTTGTTTTTACGAATGAGTTTTAAATGAGAATGTAAACTAATTAAAAATTATAAAAAATTATGTTGGCTCTCCAGTGAACAATGCTGAAAAAACTGGCCTATAGTTTAACCAAATAGTTGACCTTTAGGTAAACGGCCCAACCTGTGTGCAGAGGGACATAGACTTTAATGTGGCGTCTCTTGGTGGCTGAATGGAAGAATGACACCGTCTGGGAGCAATTTCTACAACCAACTACAAGTCCCGTCCACCAGGTCACACTCTATTGGTTAACGCTTTGACTAGAAGCACATGATTGGTCAGGATGTACTGTCAGTCAGAGAATCCGGAACACAAGTACAGTGTAAAATATTGCGTTCGCCGTTCCTGCGTTTAACCAACAGTAAATATCACTCTGTACCTTCAAAATGTTCACTTTACTGAATCCTGACACTGTGGAGCGAATGTGTCGAACAAGAAAAACACTATAAGGTAACATTTTCATACAAACTTGCTCCTGTAATACCCACGTCCTCAGTTAAAACGCGGTCAGCTGGTAACCGGTGAAGGTAAGAGCAGGATTTCACCTTTGCATGAGCTGAGAGGTGAAATTAGACATACAGTAATAACAGGATGTCGATTAATCTGAGAATGTATAGAAAATCAATTAATTTCTTTAGATTGCATTTGTATTTCGCAGTTCTTGCTGTAAAATAGGCTGCGATATGTTATTTGACTGTGACAGTGGCCTCATCAAGAAATGTAATGTAATTTAAAAGAAAGTAACATATTTGTTTAGCCTATTTTTAGGAGGGCATCAGATGTATTTGTTAATTATAGCCTACATGTTAGACCTGCAACAACAATTTCTTTCTTTGGCCACTTGGGGGCAGTGGAAACAAGTTACTACATTGACATACACTGTCAGTTTATTAAGAACAACATTAAACTGATTTAGCTATCTGGCTAGCTAAATCAGTTTAATGCAAAGTCCTGCCTTGAATCCTCCTTCATGAAGGTGATGATGTTCAGTTCCCATTCAGACTGTTTCAGAGAGGTGCTGATCCAAATGTATGATCATTTTTAAAGATTTAGTCTGTGCTGCATTATACATAGGGGTGTGTCTGCTACTGCTGCCAGCTGCAGGACCACTGGTCTATCATCGTGTTCCTGTTCCAGGTTCAGTATATCTGCAAACATGGGACAAGGGTTTACAGTGAAACTGGAATTGACACAATCTCAACAGAATCTGGCAAAAATAAGACCACGTCTTTTGTGTGCAAATAACTTAAACAGCTATTTCCCAGTCCATCCCACTTGAGTCTGTATTAGGCTTGAGGAAAAAGGATTTCCTCTATACTCTGCTGATGGCATTTACAGAAGAATCAGCATTACTGACCCAGCAGCCTTGTCAGCACTCTGCTATCACTTGATTCCCCTTGCCCCTGGCATACTTATTGCAGGTCTAATGTTATAATGCTATTCTAGAATGAATACTTCATGGAAATATATATATATATATATATCTAAATGCTCTGTTGTCTGGATGAGTATGAAGCAAAAACCAGAAGACAGTTAGCATCACTTACTGTGGCACAAACTGTGGAAGCAGGGGGAATCGGTTAACCAGGCTAAAAAGTAGTCCAGCACATAATCTCCTGCAAAGCCACAACATGTTGGTTTTTGTGACATGTTAATTAATCTGCTTTAAATGCTCCGGTAGGCAGGTTTCTTACCTCTGGACAGAGCTTGGCTCCCTGTTTCCCCATTTGCGTTGTGTTTGTGTTATATGTCGACATCTGCTAGCTAGTGTTAGCTCCCGATCCGAGAAATGAAATCAGGGTGCAGAGTCAGTCTGTCACTCTAGGTCTGCTACAAGTTAGCTACAGTCAGCTAAGGTTATCCATCCTGAATTACCACAGTCAGTAAAGTGAGTTTAGCCAAACAAAACAAGAATGTATGCAAGTAAATACAGTGCATACCCCCCCCAAAATGGTGCCCTGCTCTGCTTACAACATTCAACATGGTGTGACATGTCTCACATTCTCTACAGGCTTTGCTAATAGTCTCATAGTGGCAGCTTTATGTTTACCAGGAGTCTTGTGGGAAATAAATATATTGGGTCTGATGCATCAGGTGTTAATTTTTTTGTTGCATTAGTTATAATTTAGATCAGATAAATTATGTGTTTGTGTGTCAATATTTATGTTAAACTGAATGCATGTTTAGTGGTAAAGAATGATGATTACTGTCGGTTCTCTGCCGGTAGTATGAGAATAAGTTGGAAATTGCATATGGGGTTTAATGTTTTAAGATGAACAGTGCATGTGGGGCTTATTGCATAAAGGAGTGCTCAGGGAAAACACTAGGACAGTTAAGGATGATTGATTGCCCCCTAGGTTATCAGCAGAGGGTATCACCCTTCATCCTGTGACGTCCAAAGGCAGGGGGTTTGGTTTTGTGATTCTTGTGAGACCTAAAACTTTGAAGTAGAATTCCAACAGCAGCAGGCTTCTCATCTAACTCTTGACAAGAAAGAAAGTGTGTATTTGATAGTCTAACAGCTTCGTGTTAAACCCCAGTTTTAAGCTACCTTGAAAATAGCATACGCTTTAACACTCCAAACTTTTAGGGGAAAAGCAGTTTTGTAAAAAGCCTTGCACGACAGATTTCTGTGGCCTTTGGAGATTTTGTAAATGTTGTTAGTATTGTCAGCATCCATGCAGACTGAAAGTTCGAATGATTCGCTGGTGTTCCCTCAAACGAATAACTCAGTTTACTCTAACTGAAACGTTTCCAGTTTTTAATGGTGCCTCGTCATGCCAGTCAGTACTGAACTTCTTTTTTGTGTTTGTGTTTACAGTAAATTGGCTCAGTTTCCTGTCACACAGTTTTCAGATTGGGTGACTTTGTGCAGTTTTGAGATGTTTACTGAATACGTGTTCCCATAATAAGATGGTTTCACATTCATTTTCATGGGATAGGAAGGAGTACATATTTTTGACATCTGATGTGGCCTGGGTGTGAGGTTCATGGTGGCGGTATTTTCATTTGTGGTTAACTGTTTTTCATTTCACTTTTCACCTGTGCTTTGTATTTGATTGTTGTATTTGATTTGTTTTTTCTCTTTATTTCTCTTAATGCACATTGAGTTAACTTGGAAAGAAATGTGGTTTACATTACTTTCTGAATTGTCTTTAAAACTACCTTTTGATGTGTTACAAATGTGTAACCATTGAGAAGTGTGACTGCAGTGCTTCTTCTTACTGTGTGTTTCAGAAGCAGCTGTTTGGCCTCAGTCTCTGTGGAACTGACTGGTTGGAGGAAATACTTTAATAGCCGCACTCAGCCGGGTTGCAGAAATTAACATAATACACAAATATCCATGAATGTTTATAAAGTCAGACATGTCCCTCTGCTTTCTTGGTGTGTTTTGGCTCCCTGTGGAATTTTGGATGTGACAGGAGCTGTGTACTGGATCCACCGACAAAACAACAAAGGAATGTCGAGCTCCATGTCTTACATTGACGTTTATAATTAATACTATGAAGTAACAGGACGAAATCATATGACATTACCTTGGAGGGTGAGGAAAAATGACAACTGAAAATGTTCTTTTCTTAATAAATGATATATAAATACTTTATGCCACCACTAGTCTCACTATTCTGCATCTATCCATTGTTCATTGTCTTGTGTAATATACTGTGCCTTTTTTTTGTTACAGCCCTCAAACATTGATCTTTGGGATTATATGCACGGTGAAAACAATAATTCAATAATGTGTAGTAGTAATAATAATAATACATAATGTATTGGACAAAAATAATGAATAAAATAATATAAAAATAAACAATAATGTGAAGTTTCTCTTTAAAAAGCACTGTTGAGCAAGACACTGTCGTCTGACTCATCGTGTTTACTTTTGTGGTATGTTGACTCCAGGCTGGAGTAACTGCAAAATAATAATCAAAATGGAACTAAATTCACCAACAAAAGTTAACTATTCTACCTAAAGTTTGTTCATGTGATGTTTGCAAGGCACCCAGATGGCTGCATCAGTGCTGTCTTTATATACCAAGGACCACAATGGATTTCATTGCGTTAGACAGTTTGCAGGTCGGTGTGACCTGGGGTCCACTGTCTCTGTGTCAGTAACCCCGTAACTTAGACAAACATGAGAAAAGCTGTAAAACTGCTTCCCACCTCTTCCTGCACCCGCTGTGCATCTAAAAGTTCTTGTTTGTAAAAGCATTAAGCTAAAAGACTGCATTCAGAAGTTCAGTGCACAGCCTTCAAGTCCATTAGTCTTGCACCTTGAGTTTATTGTTGCATGTATCCGTGTGCATATGTGTGTGTGTGCACTGTTTTAAACCACGAAAGAGCAAAAATATAAAAGCAAATTTTTCAGATACATTTACACACAGTAACACACTCACACACACACACACACATATGCACACCCACTGCTTGCAGATCATGTGATTTAAGGGAAACAGCCTGCTGAAGTGAAAGCGAAAGTAACACCCGGTTGTAAATGCATCCTTATTAAATGAACCTGTGACACGGTTTACTGTTTTTTTTCGTGCAGCACTACGATACAATGTAAAACCGCTTCGCCTCAGGCTCAGTGTCAAAGAGAAAGTTGGACGCGCTTCTTCTCAGTGGAGCCGCGACCTTGTACTGGAAACAAGTCGGCTGCGTTTCGCAATTGTTTGAAACCTCTAAGGATCTGGCAGGTGTTGCGGGTAAGTACGCTTTGTGCAGTTGTTTAGGCTAATCAATGACTAAATAACCAAGGTTATTATAAACGTCGGTTGCGCTAACTTGATCCAAATTTAGCAGGTCTAAGTTTATAATCCAGAAACGCGCGCGCAGTGTTTACTCTGCATTGGACGATCTTAAGGTATTACTTCAATTTGGCTAATCCTGGAAGATTAAAGAACAGATTTTTACTTCTATCAGGTGTGGACAGTGATGTCAGCCTTTCCCAGTAACACGAACTTATATTTTTGGGTCAAACCATCTTAATCCCATTATCACTTCATTACGTTCCGCAGCATGTGGCTGCGTTTAGTCATGCTTGACCAGTTTGTAAATACATGTGTGGCACCTCTTTCCGTGGTTTCCAGGGTTTTCAGAGCACTTTAGCAGCTCAGACCATTTGGAGAAATGTACACTCGTGTTGTCTCTGAACTCCAGCACGTTCATTTCAGATGAAGCGGTTTATTTCACTTTGGGGACAGTCGTATCTCTGTCGTTGTTCCTCTGCACTGCCAACAACTGATTGTACATGTACAGCCGCGGTTTCATGTCAAATATAGTGTAAAAAGAGTGAAAACAGAAATTGGCTATAACAATAGAAAATCTCACGTTACGGGACAGACTGCATTGCTGAAACAAAGATCCCAGCATTACACAACTACTGTAAACTGATAGTTTGAGCAGAGACTGGGAAAGTACAAATTTTATGTTAGGTTTTTTTTAATTTTTATTTAAAGAAGTGCCCATGATTACAAGATTGTGACTTTAGATGATGTGTTCAAGGACAGAGCTAAGGATAGAGCAAAACTGAAACTAAAACACTAAGTGCCATAAAACAACGACAATAAAGTGCATTGATAATTATCTGATAAAGTAAAACACTATAAGTAATAAATACTATTCTGACTTTACAAGTATATTGAGTATAAAACTTTATAACGCATCAGTGTACCCAAGTGCATTAGAAAAAAAATATATATATACAGAAAGGTTTCACAGCTAAACTATATTTACATTCCTACTGCCCACATCTACAACACAATTAACATTTAATTTTGCATATCTGTATTTTATCTCTGGCTTTTGTTGAATATTTTGACCAACTTTGTGACTTGAAAGGTATTTTTAAATTAAACCTACTTTTTATGAGAAGTACAGCATGTGCACACTTCTTCTTCTTGACATGTTGAAATATTACAACACTTTTTTTTAATCTCACTGGACTAAAAGTGAAAGTGTTCACCTGTCAGTATCTGTTTTACATTTGTCATTGCATGTCACAGATAATGTACAAATATGTTTTGTCTGGCACATGACCTCATTTCTGGCACGCACACAGAGACTGGTGTGTTGCAAAAGCATGCAGTTCAGTTAAAGCACCTATAATATTTGACAATCAGCAATGAAACAACTTGTTTTCACAGCTAAAAACAAAACAAAACAAAAAAACAGTAAAACCTTGGATTGCGAGTATAATTAGTTCCGGCAACGTGCTCATAAATCCAAAGCACTCTTAAAGCGAATTTCCCCATTAGAAATAATGGAATCTCAGATCATTCGTTCCACAACCACTTATCCATATAAACATGATTACAGTAATACAAAATACAGTATAAAGTGAAAGTAAAAAATTAACCTGCACTTTACCTTTGAAAAGAATCATGGCTGGTGTGAGGGAGGGGCTACAGTAAAACCTTGGTTTGCGAGCGTTTTGCAAGACGAGCAAAAATTTGCAAATTTTAACTTGATAAACGAATGAGGTCTTGGAATACGAGTAGTACCTACGCTTTGTCTGCTGAGCGTCACGACAACTGAGCCGATGGTTCTCCCACCTCACTCGTATAGTCAACGTCTGTACTGCAACAATGGCCCCAATGAAGACAAAATAAAGGTTGAAAAGAAAGGCGATAAGAAAAAGGAGGTGATTACGGTGGAAGTTAAAAAAGAAATCGAGAAGCATGAATGAGGTATGCGAGTGGCCGATGTCTCAAGATTTTATAAGGGAGATGTGGCAAATGGTGCAAAATTTAGTGGAAAAGCACCACCCAACAATACAATGCCACATTGTGTCATTGGATAGGTTCCTTGTTAAAGTCGCACAAAAAGAAAAAGATTTCAGCCAGCCAACAGATAGCAGCTCTCTTTGTCCTCCCTCACGCCAGCCATGATTCTTTTCAAAGGTAAAGTGCAGGTTAATTTGTTTTATTTTTACTTTGTACTGTATTTTGTATTACTGTTATCATCGTTATATGAAATGGTTGTGGAACAAATCATCCGAGTTTCCATTATTTCTTATGTGGAAATTCGCTTTAATATAGGAGTGCTTTGGAGCATGTTGCCAGAACAAATAATGCTCTCAGTCCAAGGTTTGAATGTATCTTCCATTTTTTTTGTGCTACTTTAACAAAGAACCTTTCATGTACAAACATGCTTTATTGTCAGTCACTTGACCTCATTCCTGGCACGCACACGGACTGGTGTGTTGCAAAAGTATGCAGTTCAGTCAAAGCACCTCTAACTGATAATTAATCAGCAATGAAAGAACTTGTTTCCACAGCCAAAAGGTTCTCAGTTATTGTAGGTTTACAGCCATATGACATTCTGTGTAGTTGAATAAACGATTTTTGTCTGTGTTGTCTTTTGTGTTTCTGCTCTGCATTTTTTTTTTAGTGACATCCCCTTAAGAACGAATAAGCAGATTCCACATCTTCTCTCCTCTGGCGCTTTGTGGTAATGTTGTTTGATCTTAATTAAAATCTCATGATGTTGACGCAACATGGAATCTGAAAGAGGACCGAATCGCAGATGACCCAGCAGAAAGCAGCCAGTGATGGAGGATCTGCAGGCGAAAGCTGGAGAAACTGGTGCAACAGGCAGCCAAGAAGATTTTCTTTTGTAGGATGGTCAGAGACAATCTTGCTAGAACAGCAGCACAGAGCGAAAAACAGAACCACGCAGCTGAAACACAGAGCCCGAGTCAACCTGGTGAAGAACCTGCTGCACCAGAACAGAGCCCTGAAAGCCAAGAGCCGACACAGAGGCAGCTAGACATACTGCACTGGCGCAAACTCAGTTTAGAGGGAGAAGCTGAAACCTGGTGCCAGGTTAGTGTCCAAAATAAACACTGTCACAGTTTGTGGATTTTAGTGCTTTGGAGTAGTAGACAGATGGTGGAAGAACTCGGATTTTTGACTTCATGCATTCAAAATTCCTAAATATTTTAGAAAAAGTTCAAAAGTATTAGCATCACAGTAGGCATTGTGCAGACTGACTCATTTCAGAATATAATTGGATTATAATTATTGAAGCAATAAAGTGTACTTCATTGTTACAGCTGGTAAAGATGAGGCTAATTTTAATTGCTATATATACATACACTATTAGCCTGTAGTAGTCAGTTACTTATTAGCAAACCTAAATTGCTACGGTAAGTAAAATAAGTAATGTTTTTGTAGAAATTAGAAATAGGTTTTCCATTTCAGGGTGCAATTAGTCCCAACAGCTTTTACCAGTGAGGTAAAACATCCGGTTTGTAACCCGACAGGAGAAAAATCTTGATTTATAGATTAGTTCTCTTGTCAGGCCCTGAGAGCAGGAACCAGCCAGTGAAAATCAGCAGTTTGCAAATAGAAAGCCTATAGAACAGTCTGATTTTTATGTATAAAAGCTTTCTCACGCAATGCATATCCTGTGTCATTTGAATATGGCGACTGATTTCTAATACGCTTTATACTGCAGCCACTGACTGAAGATAATGTTGACAGCTGGCCCACTCACCTCCATCCTTTCAGTAGCGAGGCTGAGTATAAACTTGTGAAAAGCACTTACCAGCAGCTCCAGCACAGTGGTTACTACTGGGGACCAATGACCATGGAGCAGGCACATGAAATACTCACACACGCACCCCTGGGCACCTTCCTCATCAGGTAATCTACAAAAAGATCCAGTGTTTTATTTGTACTCAAGTTGCAGTTTTGTGAACAACTAAGGCTGATTAATCATAGTATACTGTCTTCATAAGAGTTGGGTAGGTTTGGGCTGTTCTTTATTTTAAATGAGGGTTAAAACGTTTCTCAAGTCTGTCTTAACGGTCGTCATGTGTTCTTATAAACTTCGGAACTGGTTTTTCTTGCTCTCATCATTCTTCCTGTTCACATTAGCCATTAAAAATCCCTTTCTAAGGAGCTTTTGACGTTAGAGAGGGGAACAAAATCCACAGTTTTCCTTCTGTACAAAAAAGTATTCCAAAGTTAATCTGAATTTAATATGAGGCTTTTACAGTTTGAATTAGAGAAATCAAGTGGATATTTGTTAATATTCACAAATGAGAGGTCAGAGAGGGGAGTCCGATAGTCGATACACAGAAAACACGAGCAGAATCAGAGGGGTAAGGCAGTACTCGGTGGTCACAAGGTAATCTGTGGTCAGAGCTGGAATAACAGGTACAGAAAACTGCTGGAAAGTCTGAACAGGAATTAGAACGATCTGGCAGCTTCTTGGTGTGGAGAAGCTGCCTATATGCTGTTGTAACCAATGTGGGTGATGAGAAAGTTCCTGGGAGTCAGGGTGAGCTGGGGACAGGAAGTGGTGTCAAAATAAAAGCATGAGACCGGAAGCAGGTGAGGCAGAATCATGACATCTTCTTTCTCTACATTTTTGGTCATATGTATTTATTCATTTATTTAAAGGTAAAAAGTTGGACAAACGTGTATTTGTTGTGACTCTATGCTGCCGTGCTGTTGCAGAGACAGCGGCCAGCCGGATGTTTTCTTCACTCTGAGCTACCAAAGCGAGGACGGCCCGACTAGTGTTCGTATTCAGCTGAACAACTTGCTCTTCAGTCTGCACGGCAGCCAAAGGACTTTTGATTCACTTTTTGCTCTGCTCACTTATTACACCGGCTCAGCCTGTAAGCTGAGAGTGCCCTATCGCAAGCAGCATCCAGAGCGCCTGAAGCAGATGTGCAGGAGGGTTCTTATATGTACATATGGAGCAGAAACTATAAGCACATTACCTAGACTGAGCCCTCAAATTAAAGACTATGTCCTTGCATACCCTCACTGCATATAAACACATGGACAAAGTGCCTGTTGCTGTGTCATGTTTTTGTGTTATAAGTAAAGCAAGTAAACAGTCAAGTTAACTATATTTGTTTTATTTAAACAACCCACATTTTTGTTTTGATAAATAAAACCCGCAGAGAGTATTCTATCTGCCGGTTGTTCAAGGACTATTTGCACATATTAATAATGGTATGATTTATGGATTACAGATTGCACTCCTTTTTTTTTTTATTTACAGGACATAGTTTCAGAAGCTGTGCTGCTGCCTCCATGATACTGAACAATTAATAATGTACCAAAATAAAATGACCAATCTGCTGCTGCTGTTTAAAGCTGCATTCATTGGTGTTTGGCCACTAAGAAAAAGATCAGACAGTGACTATCTTATAAAGTTGTGGCTAAAATATCAGTAAACAATAATTCGGACTGATGTTTCTGGCTCCATGTTGAATGAAAATCTAACATTCTTTTACCCTGTTTTGCGTGGAAGCTGAGAGTGGCTGAGGTAGCAGTTATGGTTTTAATCCCGTTTTTAATCTCAAAATGTCGATTAGCGTGTTATCTCAGGACAGTAGATCTTCAGAAAATAATAGGCAGTTTTCTCAGACTAATCGGACAATAACAGTCTGTTTTCTTAGAATAAACTTTGGATGAATCACAACAAATAAATACATTATAATAATAATGAATTCGTACTCTCCATATAATATATTGTAATCCAGGTCTAATCTGCACATCTGAAACAGTGTTCAGTTAAAAATAAGAACCTCTTTTAAGCTGTATAGTTTGTTTGAATGGCGATACCACAGCAAAGGTACTTTTTGTTTTCTTGAAATAATTCATTTTGTGTTGAATTATTACAATAAAACTTTTTATCATGAGATAGAGGTAAATTTAAATGGTTACAACCACATCCACCCATCCACCCTCAGCTTCTGTAGTTTTGGTCTGCACCAGCTTCTACAAATCTCTCTGCCTTTGTTCAGTGCTGGACTTTCCTCACCAGCTACTAAGTTATGGTACTGTAACTTTGTCATCTGTCTGCCTGGCTGAGAACAGCCAAAGCTCTACTGTAAAACAATTGTCTAAAAACGGCCGAAAACTTCTCAAAACAGTGGATTTGGTTGATTGTTTTCTGACCCCTTTCAGAACATTTGATTCAGTTTTATTTGAACAGTATTAACTGATGCAGTTTTAAAGTCTGAACTATGACCCACCATTAATTGACACTTGAAATTCGTTTACATGTGTAGCTAATGTTTTCATGTCTGTGAAACAACAAACAATTGTACAAGAGTGTGATGTGCTGCATAATTTTGTTCATGATGATAAATTAAAGTCGTTAGTACACAAAATGCACCATGGCATGGCTCTATAGATGGCAAACTATTGGTTGGATAGACATGAAAACTTGTTCATAATCTCCTGAGGATGAATCCTCATGACTTCGGTCATGCTCTGACATTTCCTCTAGCGCTACCATGAGGTTTAAATATTTTAGTTTTTAAACATCTGAACAACTGTCAGAGCTATGCACATTAAATTTGGTACATGTATTCATGTCCCCTACCGGATCAACTGTCCACTGTGGCGAGCCCTTGACGCTATCTCTAACACCATCTTCTGGTAAACATTTTACTTTGGCTTATGACTAAATATCTGCAAAAATAATGATTCTGAATTTGTGTTTAGTGCTAATTAGCAAATGTTAGCATGCTAATACATTAAGATGCTGAACATGCTAGCTAGCATGATTGTATTGTATTGTATTTTTGGAGTTAGTACATAATAAACATGTACTTTATTGTTTTATACTAACAAGAAACTATCCAATCGGTGTGCCACCAGACATCAGTCAAACTTTAGAAAGCCACTGCAATCAAACTAAACCTCACAGAGTGAACAAACTTTACCAAAGATTTGATACAGTGGGTAAATATTTGAATTGATCATTTACCTACATGTTTGTGTTCCTACAACTTAACTATTTCATTGAATGCAGTTGATATTCTGAAAAAAATATTTTTGATCTAACTGTAACCAAACTAAGGTGGGGGGGTTGAATGGGGTCCCATGGATAACTTGGGCCCTGTAGTGTGTTACTCCACCCCTGTATGAAACTGACTGAACAGAAAAACTATCTGTGATTCCAGTCAGATAGGCAGCACACACACATATGCACAGCTAAAATTGATTTTTTATTAAGTACAGATCCTCTGTAATGTGTTCCACTTCCTGTCCTAATTCTGACTGGCAGTGACCCCTTTAGTCTAAATTAGCCCTGCACCAGGGACACACACATACACACACTTTTCCTGTCCTCAAATTATTTCTGTCTCATTAACCTTACACATGTTGATGCAAAACCATCACAACTGTGACACATATAGAGGCAAGGACAGTTTATTTGTGTAGCAATTTTATGGGACATAAAGGAGTCATTAAGAAAAGATATTTAAATAATCAGTGGTAAAAAGTACAGTTTTAAGGTACTTGTACATTACTTGAGTATTTTAATTTTCTGCCACTTATTACTTCATCTTCATAACATATCAGAGGGAAGTATTGTACTTTTTACTCCACTATATTTAGTGGATAAACACAATAATTCATGAGTGATGACCAAATAATATGATACATATTAATATGAAACGTGCCATTCTGCATAATGAGTACTTTTACTTTTGGTACTTCAAGTATAATTGGCTGCTAACACTTTTGTTCTTTTACTTAAGTGACATTTTGAATGCAGGACTTTTATTTGTAAGTATTTAACTGTAGTATTTCTACAAAACAGCTACCTGAGTACTTCTTCCACCACTATAAAAAATAAAAAAAAGACACAAAAGTAAAATAAAATTAATTCGTGAATAAAACAGGATAATAAAAAAAATGAGCTGCAGTGCCAGACATGAATTAAGACCAGATTTAGTTTGAGGTGCAGTGTAAATCATTATTGCAGATTTGTTTACACTGCGTGTCCCATTACTCCGCGCGATCCCGGACCTGCCGCCCACTGTTCCGCACTCCGGGTTCACCTCTCGCACGCGACTGACTTCGTTATTATTGCCATGTCAGACGACCTCTCTTGACTTGTGCGCCCGCACGCGCGCAGACACGCAGATGGGGATTACAACAGCTGGGGTGGCGCGCGCACAAGTAGCTCATGTTTATGCAATGGTGTATGTGAGTGTGCGTGAGCGTGTGTGTGTGAGCGCGCGCGCCTGAGGTGGCACGAGCAGGTCCGGTACCGCGGCGGCGACAGCGGTCAGACGTTAAACGCAGCAACCCGTGCATGTTATTCGGCGGACTGAGGGCTCGTGATATTGCAGGTTTGACCCTGAGTATACGAGGGCGCTCTTTCCACCGTTTTCCACGCACGGTACGCACGTAGACCCGGTGAAATCGTCACGCGAAAAGAAGCCGTGGAATCTGTCGCGAGTGTTCCTGCGCACTATAGAGCAGGTCCGGTCGGTCGGTGTTCGGTAGCACCGCGTGGAGGGGGAATAGAGCAGGACTTACGCTGGACTCCTGGACGATTCGGAGCATCCTCAGTGCTGGCAGCATCCATCCCCCCGCGCCTCAGCTACAGCGGGAGGGCCGGAGCGGCAGCAGGATGTAGCACCGGATTACCGGAGGAGAGAGGGGCGCTCAGAGGAAGAGAGCGGGACCGAGCGGACTGAGGCGGGACGGAGGGGACATGGGGAAGGACCAGGAGCTGCTCCAAGCCGTGAAGACCGAGGACTTGCTGACAGTTCAGCGGATTCTACAGAGACCTCGGCCGGGAAAAGCCAGTCAGTATCCCTCCATCATCCTGTATCAGTCAGTTACACACACACACGCACACACGCACACACACACACACACGTCATTACCAGCTCGGGACAGTGCAGACTAAATCTGATGTGATGCCATTTAGCCAAATGGTGCTGCACTGTGTGTATGTGTATGTGTGTGTGTTTGTCTGTGTGGATGTGTATGCATGCTGTGACGTTGAGTGTGATGCGATGACGTTGCACATGTGTGAGAGCAGTCATCAAAATGTAATTACAGATTAGAAATGCTTGTCCCTCCATTTCCTGCAATTATACATAGGCCTACATCATTTATGTGTGTCAGCATGAATGGACAGAAATAGCCTGTGTGTGTGAGAGAGGAGGTGTCTGCGTGAATACCAGAGAGGTTAGCGTGTGCGCGTGTGCGTTAGAGAGCTGGAAGTATACGCGAAGGTCCTACACCGCTCTCGGGACAGGGGGATTGTTGGTGTATGAAGACGCCAGATGTTAGTGGTAATAATGCGGTGATCTTAAATGTACACGTGCAGATCTTTCCGTGCGTGCACATACGTGACGCTCAAACCTGCGTGCGTGCGGGTGCTTGAGGCGGAGTCAGCTGGGACTTGAGGTGATAATTAGATTTCAATTACAGCCCTGAAACTGCTCCCCTCTCCCGTTTCGTCGCTGGGCTCTTCTCCATTTGTCTCCTTTCCTCTGTCCATTTCCTCCCATCCTGTTTACTCCTATGCCTCCTGCTTTCCTCATTTCCTCCTCTCATCTCTTTTTGCTTTCCTCCCGTTTTTCTCGTGTTTTACCTTCCCTCTCTGTACTGTTAGATTTAGTATTAGAGGAGTTTTGATGAATGTTAGCCTTAGTCAAATTTTGGTCTCAAGGCTTTTTCAGTTGTGTCATTGAAAACTAAAGTACACCTGTTGCCGTATTTGTTATGCACAGTTACCGTGGTTATGGGTGTTCTTCTGTCTATTGTTCATGGATGTAAAGGAAAACTGGATACTGGATTATGACTGTTCATTCCTCTGAAAGCTGTTCAGTGGCAGATAATTCAAAAAATCCTTCATGCTTCCAGATTCCAGCCATCAAACTACCTGGACGTTCCATATGCAACCGCATTTTTGAACCCATAGTGCACTTGTGTAAAACCAAGACTCCCACCCATCGGGCCAACTGACTTCCAGTTGGCTCCACGCACACATGAATATGATAAATTAAATATCCTATGGTTCCACTAGACAGATTCCAAATGAATCAGATCATAAAAATAGTAATTTCACAGGGTTTGTGACACTCAGACAAAATTATTCATCATTGTACAGCTGCTCCTTTTCCAGTGACTTCAGTGATTCTTTTTGGCCCAGTGTGCATCACGTGATGAATGTGGACGTTACGGTTTGGCCCCTATGCCAAATTTGCTTCACAGCCCAACGCTGTTTCCTGGGGGCTTGGTTTGTTACAACGTTATTGAAAAGCATTGTTTTCTTGTTGACGCACAAAGCATTTTTCAATAAGGCTTCTTCCCCAGGAATAGCAGTTTTAGGGTGTTTCCCAAGTCTCTTGAATTATCGTTCCTTGGTCCTCAATCCTCACTTGATGTCTTTATGGTGGACTGACAATTGAGGAGTCCTCTCCCCTCACATGTTTTCTTTAGATCTTATGTGAGCAGGACTAAGATGCAAAGAAAAGGTCCAAGTCAGGGAAACAAAGGTGCTTATAAGAGAAACACCCACTGATTTCTCCCTCTCTCCCCACATTTTGTCTCCTCTTTCTCTTCATCCCCTCAGATTTCCTTCCCTCCTCCTGTTCCCTTTTCCCTTGTCTTCTCTTCTATCCCCTACTTTCCAACTCCTTGTTTCCTCCTCTCTCCTGTTCTCTCTGTTCCTCTTCTCCTCTCCTCTTCCCCTATGTCCTATCCTCCTGCTTCCTTTCCCTCGTATCTCTTCTCTACTCCCCTTCTCTTCTGTCCTTTCCTAATGTTTCTTCTGTAATCTCTCCTGCTGTTTCCTCCCCTCTCTTATCTCCTCTTCCTCCAGTCCTCTCTTCTCCCTTCTTCTCTTTTTCATATCTCCTGTGCCTTCTCTCAGCTCCTTTAGTCTTTCCTCCACTCCTTTCTTCTCTCCTCTCCACCTCTCTCCTTGTGCATGTTTGTCTCTGAGCAGTGCCATGGAAAAGAAAAATGCTTCTCCTCAAATGCCAGAACAGATCAGCTCTTAGCACTCAGTCCACTGCACACTGACAAAGAAAAGGGGGGAGGTGGGTGGGGGTGTGTCGGAGATGAGGGTGAGGAAGAGGGTGAGAAAGAGAGGAAATGAGGGAGAAAGGCAGGTTGGATGTAGGGAGATAAAGAGAAAGGAAGTGAAGGAGAGAGGTTAAAGGGTGATTTATGACAGGTGTGTGTGTGTGTGTGTGTGTGTGCGTGTGTGTGTGTGTGTGTGTGTGTGTGTGTGAGACTGCGTGAATCCGGGTTTATGTTTGAATAATTCAACGGGAATCCAGGTTTCTCTGCTGGAGAATCACACACACCTCTAACACACAATTACAGGCAAGTATGCACAGAAACACATCAGGTGTTTAGCCATGTGCCTGACTGCGTTTGTATTATTAAGAGAATGCTAATGTGCAGTCTGGCAGGTGAGAGGCTGAAGTGGTTGGTTGCGTTGTCAGAATGTCACAATTTGATGTAGAGTTGAAGGAAGTGGGCAGCACGGTGGCACAGTGGTTAGCGCCGTTGCCTCACAGCGTTAAGGTTCCAGGTTCGGGCCCCACCTTGGACCTTTCTGTGTGGAGTTTCCATGTTCTCCCCGTGCTTGTGTGGGTTCTCTCCGGGTACTCTGGCTTCCTCCCACAGTCCAAAGACATGCAGCTTAGGTTGATTGGTGTCTCTAAATTGCCCATAGGAGTGCATGTGCGTGTGTGTGGTTGTTTGTCTATGTGTTATCCCTGCGATGGATTGGCGACCTGTCCAGGGTGTACCCCGCCTTCGCCCGATTGCCGGCCGGGATTGGTTCCGGTCCCACCTGTGACCCCACTCAGGGATTAAGCGGTAGAAAATGAATGAATGAGTTGAAGGAAGTGAAGCAGTGACAGGAGCAAGTAAAAGTGTGGGACCACTTTCTGATAAGACACAATTTATAATAAGCTGCAGTTAACTGCTTTATTGATGGTTAAACGTGCATTAACTGTGATTTTACACACTGTTCGATATCTAAAGTTTAAATGGGACAGATGTGGTGTCTCTCTGCTATACTACCCCATTTTGTTGTTATTCCAGCTTCTCTATCGTGTGTTCTTAAAATCAGGTCTGTAAACTAGTTGCTCATGCCATTCAACAAAGGTTATACAAAGTCCATTTCAGGTAGTCATTTCACACAGACACCCACAAAGGAGCTCCTGTTTGCTAAAAGTCCAAAACTGTGGCTGCCAGACCAGAGAGGTCATGTTCATTTGCACAGAGAGAGTGGAATAAAAAAGCAGCAACAACCAGGGTAAACATCAGTTTGGCTTTTTGAGGTGGAGAGCATTAACAGCAGCTAAAGGACTCAAATTTGATTCAGAAGTGGTGTCCTTCCTTCTGGATGCATTAGCATCTAAAGCTAATGTGTTTAGCAGGCACCTGTGACTCAGGAGGTAGAGCGGGTCCTCCTCTAACTCTAGGGTTGGCGGTTTGATCCCCTGCTACCCCAGTCAACCTCTAGTTGCTCTCGGTGATGTCACCGGTATGAATGTGTGAGCATTTGTGTGTGTGCGGATGAGTGAGTGGGAAATAGTGTAAAGTGTTTCGATGTGTAGAAAAGCACCGTATAGGATCATTAGAAAGATCATTTGTTTTGGTAATATTAGTGACATTTAGTTATCGACTTTGATTGGGTGGCAGTATTAGCTAATGTCTTTTGAAATCTATATTGATTCTATTGATTTGGATGTAGGTTATTTAAATAGCTTGAGGATAATGCTGCCACTGTTCTTGTTACTGTCAACACATCTCATGAAAATAAAACTACAAACTCCAGGCTTTCTGTAACACATAGCCTCAAACCCATTCATTCCTACTGTGGACCTAAATCTTTTCAAATAGATCACAAATGTCTAGTTTCATTTTTGAAGGCTTGGTAATTTCCTAAAACAGCTGGTAGTTTTTAGCAAAAGTCACTCAAACAAGAAGAAATAGTCCCTCTCCTGGGGACTATTTTCAGCCACAGATTAATACAAACATTTGTGCTCTAGTGAGAATTTACAGCAGCAGGATGATGTTGAATTGACTCAAAATAAACCACAGAGCTCAAGTTTATTACTCATCAGCCAGTATAACAGTGTGGTGCACTGATACGTTTTTAATAGATTCTGAATGAAACAGTTTAGACACGGAGATGTTGACTGTCTGGTACAATACTTTAAAGAAGATGACATTAAAAATCTACTGCCTGATCACATAAGTAAGACATATTCCTAAATCATATGGTACAGTGTCCTTATCATTAGTCCTGCTGAGATGCACTTTATCTCAGAGACTGTAGAACATCCTTATCATATATGTACTCTATCTATTTTATTTTGTAGCAAGCAACTAAGTAATTTATACAATGTTTCAGCCACTATCAGCAATCAGGAACTACAATAACCATGTTTTGCCACAGCCGGTAGTCTCTAATGGACTCAGATATTCCAATTACATGACTTAAATTCAGCAGAAAACCAGCAGAAATATGAAGCGATGATCCAGCATGTCCTCTACCAACACATTTAAACATAGCACCTGTGAATCATAGATAACAATACTATTATTAATTCTATCAGATGCACCAGGCCCATTCAAACTGGCTTCCCCAGATTTCCTTTTACACATTTTCAAATGTGCATCCATATTGCCCAGTATGCCCAGCTAATCCAGTTCAATATAATCAATAGCAAATGTCAGTCCATGGCTTTTTATCTTTAATTAGTCCAGAGTTGTAACTAAGACTGAGATACTAGCTCATCGTTGTGTGGTGGAAAATTCTGTTAATAAAACCTCACAAACAATCCTTTGTTGATTTTATTCACACTTGCAAGTTGGCACACAGTCATCAGCAATAATTGCTTCGGACTGAAAGCAGCTCTCTCTGCCTCAGTCTCCTATTATACATGAAGCATACAGTATGTGGAGCAAAAGCAGACATATCTTGTTGTTCCTAGAAAGACACACATTATTCCCGATAAACTCAATATCTGTGAAATTGGAGCTCAGCCACACATGTGGGAACATTAGGTCACATCAGGTCATGGTAACTTTGCTTGTTAGCAGAACAGCACACAAATATAACTACAGTACACAGGGGAAACCCAAGACATGACGATAAGCCGAGCTCAACGGGATCTATCAAGGACGTGTCTGGATTCACCAACATTTAATGAGCCTATGCATCATTAGTGAACCAAAAACACTAACATAAGAATCGGTTTATGAAAAGCGCTGCCCTTTGGCATGAATTAAACCTAATAAAGAGTTGTGTTTCACTTTCATTTTTGTCAAACACAAAGTCACAGAACAGTCCTGGAAGTGACTGGCAAGCAAGACACAGGCAGACCAAGAGATGCACTGCCCAGCTAGGTTAGCAGGACATCAACTTAACCTTACTGCTGAGATCAGAGTTGAAGAGGGGACAACAGACGTTTACCTGACTGACACCAGGGGGAGGCGGGGCCTTGTTTAAATTGCAGGGCGTGAGTGTAAAGGGCCAGCTGGATTGTAAGCTTACTGTGACCTTGAGTTGAGTCACTCTGACATATGTGTGCAATCGTCTGAAAACTGATAGAGAAAAAACACGTCAGTGCTGGCATTAGTTTTAGGCTACATGTTACACTGAAACTCCTGACTGCATAAAGACAGGCAAAGTCAGAGGTGATGGGAACTGGACCTCAGAACATCTCTGCTAATGAGAACCCTTGAGAAACCCCCTCCCCTCCAGTGAGGTTTGGGAATCTGCTGTGTTGCACTGGAGGTTGCTGTACTTGTTGGTACTCTCCATATTAAGATTGATGGGTTTCAAATTAAATGCAACCGATATGATTTCATGTCAACTAAATTCTAAAATAGCTTCAATTTGAAGGAGATGTTCCTAAATAATACCATAGTAAACCATGCCTGATGATTGACAGCCTGTGAGAATGGCACATTCAGGGGTTGCCACGGTAACCAGGGCTCAGTTTGCAGTGTTGTGCCTGAAATTATCATAAAAAATTATAAACCCTAATCTAAGGACACCATCAGAGAAATATTATGGTAATTATCTTTACCAGCTCCTGTCAGATAAGGGAAATTTTTAAGCAACAAATTTAGGTAAGTGATATAATCAGGCAGAGTGTTATGACTGCAACCTGCCAGTTTTACTGTGAAACTATGCCCAGACTTCCAGGTAAAAGAAAGATAATTTATAAAGAAAAAGATCTGCCGTTGGGGCAGGCCCTCTGCGAGTCTGGTGATGACAAAGATATCGACCAGGGTGGGGGAGATATCCAGATTAATCTAAGATCGACAGGGGAACCCACATGTATACACAGACACACACAGACACACACACATGCAGGGTAATGATGTCAGCTGCAGGGTGTAAACAGAAACCGCAGAGCTACCAATCAGCACATGCTCATTTAGCAAATTACAAAGAAAATTAGAGTGTGAGAGCAGGATGAAGGGATGTAGTGCAGATAGAGCTGCAGAGAGAGCGAGAAGCTTTTGCCCAGATTACAGAACAGCCACAGATTACGGCCTGTGGATTATGAGGGTTTGACCAGCAACAACTAAATAAATAAATAAACAGAGGCAGAGAGACAAACAAGTTGCTTTCTGTGTGTCCTTTTCAGAGAGTGTGTGTATTGTTTATGAGAATGCTTGTGTGCTACTTCCTGTTGTGTGGTGTGTTCATCTTTGTGACATTTCTGTTAAAGATCAAGGTTATCAAATATGAACAACATGTACACTTATATAATTACAGGGACAGATGTACTTAATGTATAAATTCAAGCATGCTGTAAATCCACACACACAGTCGCACATATCTGCGAGCTAGATCACATTTTCTGATGACGCTGTTGCTGTTCTGTCTTCGAGGTTCACATTCAGACCATGGACTCAGATTTTATTCTTTGGTTTGAAAACAACTTCCTGGATTTAAATATATCTAAATCCAAGGAGCTCTTTATTTGTTTTAGATTCAACAGACATGTAGTCAAAGCATGCACTGTACATAATAAAAGTGTGGAAATACTTAGGATTACTCCCCTTTGGTTCTTTACCTTGTCTCGTCTCCTTGACCCCTATTTTGCTCCAACGATAGAAATGCTACAAGGCAGAGGGTTGTTGTAGAGTGCTCACAAGCATAAAAGTGTGGCTGTCAACTCAACCTGCAGGGAGGGACATATTCAGTATACAGTATGTACAAGGACAGAATACATTAATCACTGAATTATGAATATAAATGTGGACTGTTTTTGTCATGAGCTTGTTGCTCCTCCACTTCTCCTCACCCACATTTCACGTCTTTCCTTCGTATGTTTCAGAGCTTCTTGGGGCAGCGAAACGCGTGAACGTCAACATCCAGGATGCAGATGGGTGAGGGACTCCTGCCATCACCACACATCATTATCTTACATTTTTCAGCTATACAAAATATAAACGTCTTGTGTAGTTGTGGGACACAGTGTTGAAGGTATACTGCGGGTCATGACCTCCCAGCGGATCCCAGTGTAATCAATATTACTTTTCTCCTTGCTTTTGCCAAGAGTGCCTAAAGAGCACTTCCTTTTCTGTAATTGTGGTTTTTATTGTCCAGAGCTGTTAGGATAGAAGAGGGTCAAAAACAGCAGCAAATACAAATAGTTCCAAACAGCCGGGATATAGCATCAAATTTCTACTTTTGATCTCTAACTCTAAAATGTCACAAGTATAATTATTGCTATTGATGTTTTAGAACACAGCAGCCAAGTAAGTGTAACACGGTGGCACTGCTGCTAATATTTGGAACAATTTAACGTTCCCAGGATCCGCCATTACTGTAAAAAATGGTCCTTATAGTGCCAATGGAGATGTCGTCACTCTCCTTCTTAATCCACTCTGTTGTAGTCTAAAAACTGACAGGTTGGTTCTGGCATTCATAAAATATAATGGATAAGCCACTAAAATGCTTCAAATAGAACAATGAATGGAAACAGCCCCTGTTTTTGTTAGACTACTTACAGCTCACGTACACTAAATAAGGCCAAAAGCACTGCCTCACTTTAATGGGTCACAACTCAAAGAAAGTTGGGACCTACTGGTGACTGTCCATCAACCAGAAATTTAAGATTTATGAGACAAGAAACACCCACAAAACTTAAGTAACCCTGAAGAGAACCCCAAACACCTATAAATTCAAGAGGTTTTGTTCTCTAGTTGACCCATGAAATGACAAGAAAAAAGAAATTCTCCATTTTGATCATATTTTATAAATAAACTATCAATCATATGACTATACACATTATAAGCCTGCTAGATCAGTCTTTGAGACATGTAGCCAGCTGAAGAGCCCAAATCTAAAGACTATAATTACCTTAGAGGAGAGCTGACATTCTCAGCTCTTAATTTGCTCAGAAATGTTTCTTTATCATCTCTGATTGTAAAACTATGGAGTTTATTTAGACCCATGATTGGTTTGACATTGTTTTCCATTTGGTTCCACTGGATAACAACTGTCTTTTTATTATGTTGATTGGAACCAGATAACCAGACTTTACTCCATGTGTAATGATGATTCTTTGACCCCAGGGCCCAGCGCTTGTATTCACCAGAGCTCCATTACACACACACACATACATGCTGTGCTTTCATTCCTTGTGGGGACTTTACATTGACCTACGTTCATTTCCTGTAGACCTATCCTAACCTTAACCATAACCGCTACTTACCTAACACCTAACCTCAGCCTAACCTTAAGCCATGTTGCCACCCTAAAATTCAGTAATTTGTGGCCGAGTCCCCACAATGTGAGTGTGTTAACAGCTTTTGGTCCTCATAATGTAAGTAATACAAATGCACACACACAGAGACATGCTGCGTGTATGTTCACCTCGGGGGTAGGGAGATTGCTTATTAATGGAAGTAGGTCATTTGCCCCCTCCCGTCACTCACACAGAGCTAAGGGGCGGAGCTGCTCTACGCTGAAGATTATTTCAGCAAAGTTATACTCTGGTTTTACACAACATGTTTGAATATGTGTATTTTTATACATAATCTGCATTTGTGTGCGTGTGAAGGTTGTCGCCACTGCACTATGCTGCTCTGAGTGGTAACAAGGAGCTGATCTCTCTGCTGTTGGAGGCCCAGGCAGCAGTGGATATTAAAGACCATAAAGGTAACAATACACAGACCTTCACAGAATACTGTTGTCCTTACTACTCAATGTGTTACTGTCACTAAACAACCACAAAACACACAAGGCTGGCTAGAAAACCAAACAGTAAGAAAAAAATTCTGGCTTTCCCTGCAGGACCAGTAACACCCTCATATGTAATAAAAGGTGAGCTTGTTGGAAATGCAATAAAATTTGTGTAGTAGTAGCGCGTGTTTATGAGAAGCGACAGATTTGTGTGCACAGCAAACAACAGACAATGAGAGGGATGTCTGCGGGACAGAGAGCCAAGCAGAGCAGCCCAGATCTCCCCTCTTTTCACAGAAAACATATCCTTCCTATGCTGGCAGATTACAGAAGAAGAAGAAATCTCAGGGCAGATGGGAGGCATAATCTCTCCAGGATGTAGACCTACTGTCAGGCCCCCACCTCCCCAGTGGGTCTCTCTTTGATGGAGGTGGCGGGAAGCCTCAGTCATTCCTCCAGTACCTAACTAAACCTCATGGTTCAGAGCAGTGCTCACATTATGTTACATAATGCACCAATTTAAGGGTCAGTATTATATATGTCTGTAACCAATACTCTTAAATTAATACCGGATCAATTTACTGCATGTACGTGAAAGAGGTTGCTTGTAGTGACAAACCCACAGCGAATCATCACCCGACTCTGCAGTTCAGCTCATTATTTACAGAAGCTGTCTGTGCACATCTTTTGTTTTGATTCTAATTCACTGTCGCTTCAAGGCGCTTTACATAAGACATAACAGACATTAAGATATCAGGCAATATAAAAGGACATAAATAGGATTTAAAACTAGTTAAATAAATTCAGATTTATTTCTATAGCACCAAATCACAACAAAAGTCATCTCAGGACACTTTACAAAGTAAGGTCTAGACCTTACTGTTATCAATATTATTACATAGGGAAAACCCAACAAATCCCCCTTGAGCAAGCACTTGGCGACAGTGGGGAGGAAAAACTCCCTTTAACGGAAGAAACCTCCGACAGACCCCGGCTCTTGGTGGGCGGGAAAAACAGTAATGGATATGTGTTATTTCCTTGTCCCATCTGAGCTCTGATACTTGACCTGCTCTCTGTCGTCAGTTCAATTACAGCCTTATCTTTTGGCTTCTGTAATGTAAAATATCACTGTATGGAGGCTGTCAGTAACATACTGATACTGCTAGGTAGGATCAATAAAGTACCTACCTACCAACAGCAGTATAGTGTTCTATCTGCGGTTTGCAGTTCAGTATGGCTAGGAATTATTTTAGCATCGTCATTGCTCTACCAAGGTGACAGGAGTACTTCACACAGTCACAGCGGGTGACTAGCTTTAGTTCTGTGCAAGTAACACATTTAAGGGGATTTCCAAAATCAGAGATCCAGTTTAGTTGGGAATACCAAGTGAGACTTTCATTATTGTTATTGGAGCAAAAATGTTGATCATGACTTCATCATTGCTCTTCATTAATCTGAGGGTGTAGTGTTCTTTGCATAGTCTTTCATGATCACCAGTGCCTGCCAAACAAAATACTGTTCCTGCACACAGGTTCAAATGGGACATATGAATCACATTATCTCAACAACTGAGCTCTCAGAGTTTTAGGATCGACTATCCCACTGACCAGTGGAAAAGAAATGAGCAAATGAGCTCACATCACCTACAGCAATCTTTGAAAATAACCTCTTGAACTGAAGCTCTGTCTACTACAACAAGTCATTCCTAAGTTCTCCTCCTGTCTTCAGAGAAGTCAAACTCTTTCTTTCTGGGTGAAGTCTTCCCTTCTCTGTCCCAGTTATCAAAACAATTTCTAACATGTCTTCAAGGCTGCCTGAAGGTCATTTGCATCATATCTTCTAATATATATCTCCTGTAACTCCTGCAGCTGCTGTGCCTCTTGATGCTGCCAGCATCTTGCCCTCTGTCTGAAAGCAGTTATTTTTGGATGTCCCACAAGTATGAGGCCTGGACAAATAGTACTACTAGGGTCACAGAGGGTTACAAGCATGTCAACCACAATAAGATGCATTGCATGTCCAGGAGGGACACTGAGATTCTGTGTTGCTATAGTAAGATAGTACAGAAATATTCACTGTAACTAAAATTGTCATTTTCAATTAATCTGCTTGTTGTTGTTTATTTATTGTATTTTATAAATAGTCAGCAAAAGTTTCCTTCAAAAATGTCTTGTTTTAGTCCAACCAACAGTCTAAAGCCCAAAGATATTTAGCTTACTAACATGGAAAATACACATTTGAGAAGCTGGAACCAAATCAAATCAAATCAAATCAGATTTTATTTGTATAGTGCCAAATCACAACAAAAGTCATCTCAGGACACTTTACAAAGTAAGGTCTAGACCTTACTGTTATCAATATTATTACATAGGAAAAACCCAACAAATCCCCCTTGAGCAAGCACTTGGTGACTGTGGGGAGGAAAAACTCCCTTTAACGGAAGAAACCTCCGACAGACCCCGGCTCTTGGTGGGCGGCCTTCTGCCTCGACCGGTTGGGGTGAGTGGATAGAGGAGAAACAAAAGATGAAAAGCAACGAGATACAACAATCAAACACTGATCAGGTCGATGTGGCTGGTGACTGCTCGTCAGAGACGTAGAGCTCCAGGGCCAGGGCAACCTGCAGAAAGGTACAGGGAGAGAGAGAGGACACACACAGTTAGTGATGTGTAGTGGTGGCATATAGAAGCATAGAGAGAGAGTAAAGGAGAGTAGAGAAAGCAGCAGCCTAGGTCTATAGCAGCATAACTAAGGGAAGGCTCAGGGTCACCTGATCCAGCCCTAACTATAAGCTTTATCCAAAAGGAAAGTCATAAGTCTACACTTAAAGGTAGAGAGGGTGTCCGCCTCCCGAACTGAGACTGGGAATTGGTTCCATAGGAGAGGAGCTTTATAGCTAAAGGCTCTGCCAATATTGTGCAGGTGAAAGAAAGCAGTTCTAGAGACTTGGTTTATGTGTGATTTAAAGGACATATCCTGGTCAAAAATTACTCCAAGGTTCCTCACAGTAGTACTGGAGGTGAGAGCTATGTCGTTTAAAGTAACTATATGATTAGATAGCAGATTTCTAACATTTTCAGGCCCAAGCACAATAACTTCAGTTTTGTCAGAGTTTAGAAGTAAGACGTTACAGGTCATCCAGGCCCTTATGTCTTTAAGACAATTGTGCAGGTGAAAGAAGGCAGATCTAGAGACTTGGATTTTGTGTGATTTAAAGGACATATTCTGATCAACGATGACTCCAAGGTTCCTCACAGTAGTACTGGAGGCAAGAGCTATGTCATCTAAAGTAACTATATGATTAGACAGCAGATTTCTAAGGTTTTCAGGCCCAAGCACAATAACTTCAGTTTTGTCAGAGTTTAGAAGTAAGAAGTTGCAGGTCATCCAGGCCAGTGAATTTTAAACAATGAATCATTTGTCAATCTGTCAATAAATTTATTGTTTTGGCTCTAATTTCTACATCTATATTTTCAGTTCCAGTGGATTAACTTAGGTTTCAATTAGTTCTTACTGGAATAAAGGTGGGCAGCACGGTGGCGCAGTGGTTAGCGCAGTTGCCTCACAGCAAGAAGGTTCCGGGTTCGGGCCCCACCTGGGACCTTTCTGTGTGGAGTTTGCATGTTCTCCCTGTGCTTGTGTGGGTTCTCTCCGGGTACTCCGGCTTCCTCCCACAGTCCAAAGACATGCAGCTTAGGTTGATTGGTGTCTCTAAATTGCCCATAGGAGTGCATGTGTGGTTGTTCGTCTATGTGTTAGCCCTGCGATGGATTGGCGACCTGTCCAGGGTGTACCCCGCCTTCGCCCGATTGCCGGCCGAGATTGGCTCCGGCCCCCCCCTCGTGACCCCGCAAGGGCCTAAACGGTAGAGAATGAATGGAATAAAGGCACACTGGAGTAAATTAGTGATGAGAACAGTTGAGTCCAGTGATTTTTCTGTAAATTGTGCTGAGAACGTCAGAGGTCTTTTTATTTGCAGGATGTTCAATGGCAAACAGATCTGCTTGCAAAAAGAAAACAATACCTAAGTGTGTCCTTTTGCATGTATTCATGTGTCTTTAATATTCTTATATTTTGTACGTGTCCATGTGTATGTGCTTTTATGTCTCTATTTTACTGTGCTGTCATTTTTGGGTGTGTGTTTTTGCATGTATGCGGTGTGTGTGTGTGTTTTGTGTAGGGATGCGTCCTCTGCATTATGCTGCATGGCAGGGAAAGACTGAACCTATGAAGATGCTGCTGAAGGCCGGCTCGTCAGTCAACGGACAGTCAGATGAAGGACAGATCCCTCTCCACCTTTCAGCTCAGCATGGACATTATGATGGGGTAACTGCATGTGTGTGCTGTAGGGATTTTGTTTTTGTGAGGTGTGTCTATCTGTTATGTTTGCTTGATGGTGCATGCATGATTTGTGGCTGTCACAAGCCAGGACATTCAGAAGATTTGTGTGTGTGTATGTGTGTGTTTGTTCCTACAGTCAGAGATGTTGCTACAACACCAATCCAACCCATGTATCTCAGACTCAGATGGGAAAACACCATTGGACCTTGCCTGTGAATTTGGACGTGTCGGAGTGAGTAGATTTCACTGAAACCAGTCACACACCCACCAACAGATGTTTGAACTTTTATCTACATTTATTTCACAAGAAAAGCCTCAGTGAGATTAAAAATGTGTTTTTCAAGAGTGCCCGGGCCCAGATGGAGAGTGGGACCAGTGTGTTACAGACAAACTACATGAAACAAAATACAGTATGCCGCAAAATCCAGATTACACAGAAATGTGATTACAATGATGATGAATTGAATTTCTAATACAAGTCATATAAAACAATATGTTCTTGAAACAATTTAATTTGTAGCATAATTTTATAATCCTAAAGATTTCAATCCTGGTTCATTTGGTCATTGTGATTGCATGGTTGAGTCCATAAAGCCATGAGCAGTGGTGGACTCCACAGAGAAAACTACTATAGAGTACCATAGTAGGGAGTCCTAAAACCCGGAACCAGTTTTATAGTCGAGTCATGAGTCCCCAGTGTTTGTGTACTAGTCTGAGTCACCAAAGTGTAGTATGAGCCGAGGCCATGTCACCTAAGAACTCACCTATGGCCATAAACTTTGGACCATAACTGAAAGAATAAGATCGCGGATACAAGCGGCAGAAATGAGTTTCCTCCAGAGAGTGGCTGGGCGCACCCTTAGGGATAGGGTGAGGAGCTCAGTCACTTGTGAGGAGCTCAGAGTAGAACCAGTTGAGGTGGCTCTGGCACCTGTTTAGGGTGCCCCCTGGACGCCTCCCTGGGGAGGTATTCTGGGCATGCCCCTCCAGGAGAAGGCCTCTGAGCAGACCCAGGACACATTGGAGAGACTGTGTCTCCTGGCTGGCCTGGGAACGCCTTGGGGTTCCTCCTGAGGAGCTAGAGCAGGTGTGTGGGGGAAGGGAAGTCTGGGAGGCTCTGCTCAGACTACTGCCCCCACGACCCGGTCTCGGATAAAGCGAACGAAGATGGATGGACGGACAGTTCCCTCACCCCAAAGTCAGAGGGCTTTTTAAATGGGTTTTTGGTTAGGTGCCTGAAATACGGTCTGTGGTTAACACAGAGCCGATACATTTTCATGTTTTGTTCTATAAAGATACATGAGTATATAAATACCCCACTTGTGATTTTTTTAATACGTGCCATAAAAAGGCTGTTGCTAACTAGTGATGTTAATATTCCCTGGACTTTGAGAACTGTTCATAAGAATTTGTCCATGTTATTGGTGGTTGCACAACTTAGACAGTCTGACTGTTGTAGGTGGTCCAGCTCCTGCTCAGCAGTAACATGTGTGCAGCCATGCTGGAGCCGAAACCCTCCGACCCCAATGGAGTGTCACCTCTGCACCTCGCTGCCAAGAACGGACATATTGAAGTCATACGGTCTGAAAAACCTCTCCTTTCAATCTGCTTCTCTCAGTTTGTGCCTGTCTGCATATCTGTCCAGCTGACTGCTTGATGTAATGGACATATATGGTCTAAACATTTGTTACAATCTAAAAAACATGCCAGTCCACATAGTTGTTATCTTTCTAAAATGCTTTTACAGACACTTTTGTTGACTTGCATTCATGTAGAGAATTTTACAGTGTTTTTTGTATGAAAAACGTTGTTATTCATTTGTATTATTTTATATAAGCACTTTTATTAAACAATTTTATATAATCAAAAGTTACAATTATTATTATCTTGTGCTGCAGGTTGCTGATTCAGGCTGGTATAGATATCAACAGACAGTCGGAGTCTGGCACAGCCCTACATCAGGCTGCCCTCTGTGGGAAGACAGAGGTAGTACGCCTGCTGCTGGACGTAAGTCTGACTGCCTGTCTGCCTTTCTATCTGTCTGTCCCTGTGTCAATTTAACATGTTTACATAAGCAGCTGTTGTTAAAGCTGCCCCCATCTCCACACCTGAGCAAGTTTACACCTCGGCATTTGTCATTCATTCCCACTGAGCCGTGTGAAGACGCCTGTGGGTTATGTTAGCTTGTTACAAAAAACTGTAGCTCACATCCTACCTGTCATGCAATATACAAACCAGCTTTGCGTTCTTGTCACCTTCAGATGACTATGGATTCAGCTTTTGAGTAGGAATTGCTTTCAGTGTTCTCATCATTGCTGCTGTATTTCACTTATGTTATTGCTGAGGCATCACATACTGACAGAAAACCATGCAGGCATATACACACGGCCAAACTGACACCAAATACACAGTACATCCCTACTATGAACTCAACGTGACACAGTTTCACATAGCAACTTAAATCGTGTTTCTCCTGCGCTTTCATCCAGAGCGGCATCAGTGCAGGGGTGAGAAACACTCTGAGCCAAACTGCCCTGGACATCGTTAACCAGTTCACCACCACACAGGCCAGCCGGGAGATTAAACAGCTGCTGAGAGGTGAGTATGAGTCCACACAGACACATAGTTACACATGTTTATGTACAATTCCTTGCAGCTGTGGGCAGTACTATAAAATATGTCTGATGCAGTAATAACTATGAGTGTTAGAATCACTGCTTTCAAAACATTAATTCAAACTGTTTGTTATGAAAAGCTGATAGTGTTCTGTGTATGAGATAGTCGAGTGTTCAGATTGATCATTAATAGCTTTCTCCTGAATGCAGACTATTTTCATCACCACCAAACGTTAACCTTTCTTTATACTAAAGGCTACTTTATTATTGAACTGCATACATGTAAAAATCAGTTTTCAGTGGTAAACGACAGAAATGTTCATTGTGTGTCTGAATGAAGTGATTGCTATGAGCATGTGCACATTTAACATAGTGGCACAGTGTAGTGTCTTTGTGCCTACAATGTGATCTAACCTGAGGTGGATCTGTTTATTTTGTTTCCGTTTCCTTGTATTGTGTCTTGTAGATGCTTCGGCTGCTATGCAGGTGCGGGCACTGAAGGATTACTGCAACAACTACGACCTAACCAGCCTCAACATCAAAGCTGGAGATATTATCACGGT